AAAGTCAGAACACCCTCATTTAGTTCATTTTCTGTGACAAATCCATACAATTAAGTGACAAATACTTTCCTTACTTACAAGAATATTTTCCTTTTACCTGTCAGAATATGTAACACAAAAAACACACCTGCAATTTTCCAGGGTCCCTGCCAATTACTCATAAAAAGTTAAAGCAACAAATACATAGAATAGATATAGAAATAGGTCCACTAATTATAGAATCACAGAATATTAGGGTTGGAAGAGACCTCAGGAGGTCATCTAGTCCAATCCCCTACTCAGAGCAGGACCAACACCAACTAAATCAGGGGTCTCAAACTCGAATCACCAGGAGGACCACATGAGGACTCGTATGCTGGCCCAAGGGCTGCATCACCCACTTCCCCCTGTTGCCCCTGCCCCCCACTCCATCCCCACAGCAGGGGGCTCAGGGCAGGGGGTTGGGGTGCAGGAGGGAGTGCGGGGTGCAGCAGGGGTGCGGGGTGTAGCAGGGGGGTCAGAGCAGAGAGTTGGGGTGCAGGAGGGGTTCGGGTTCCGGCCCAGTGCCGCTTACCTTGCGCGGCTCCAGGGTGCCAGGGGCGAGCACCGGGCTCAGGGTAGGTTCCCTGCCTGACCCGGCCTGGCCCTGTGCCGCTCCGGGAAGCGGTGGGCACCCTGTCCATGCAGCCCCGGGGGAAGAGGGAGCAGAGAACTCCGTGAGCTATTCTTGCCTATGGGTACCACCCCCGAAGCTCCCATTGGCCGTGCTTCCCCGTTCCCAGCCGCAGGGAAGCGGTGCCCGCCACTTCCCGGCGCGGGGGCCTCAGCACCATGGGGTTTGCAAATCCACAGGCTGGATCCAAAGCCCTGAGGGGCCAGAACCGGCCCGGGGCCGTAGTTTGCCCACCCCTGGCCTGGAGGTAGGCTGGGGACGCGGTGCGGGGGGGGAGGGCGGCGGCTGCGGGGAGCTTGGCCCGCATGTGGCCTATGGGCTGCGTGTTTGAGACCCTTGAACTAAATCATCCCAGCCAAGGCTTTGTCAAGCTGGGCCTTAAAAACCTCTAAGGATGGAGATTCCACCACCTCCCTACGTAACCCATTCCACCGCTTCACCTAGTGAAATAGTGTTTCTTAATATCCAGCCTAGACCTCCCCCACTGCAACTTGAGACCAGTGCTCCTTGTTCGGTCATATGCCACCACTGAGAACAGCAGAGCTCCATCCTCTTTGGAACCCCCCTTCAGGTAGTTGAAGGCTGCTATCAAATCCCCCTCACTCACTCTTCTCTTCTGCAAACTAAATAACCCCAGTTCCCTCAGCCTCTCCTCCTAAGTCATGTGCCCCAGCCCCCTAATCATTTTCGTTGCCCTCTGCTGGACTCTCTCCAATTTGTCCACATCCCTTCTGTAGTACTCTTCCTCAGGTCAGAAGAGCTTTGCGTGGCTTGAAAGCTTGTCTCTCTCACAAACAGAAGTTGGCCCAATAAAAGACATTACCTCACCGATCTTATCTCTCCAGGTTCTGATATGACAGTTTTCACAGGTGAGATAACTGTACTAATATATTACAAGAATATTAATTAAGATACAGATACATCATTATATGGATCTTGATCTACAGAAAAAGAGAAACAGTAAAATATTGTACATCAATTGGAGTTTGTTTGCAATTATTAACTAACTCAAAAGCTCTATCTGATTGCTTTAATTGCTACATAGCTGTTTACCATGTCTACTACCATGCCAATTTCTCATTACCCTACAAACCTACAGTCAAAGCAAGCTTGTGATAGTTTAAAAAAATGTGTTTCATTTAAGTGAGTATAAAGTATCTTGCTGGTCCATATAAAACTACTTTCTTTTCCTGCCTTTTTCTAAGGTTTATATAGGGTACAAGAGTCTGGCCTAGCATACAAAAACACCACCACTCAACATCGGCAGCCTGATTTACAAGCATTTTGTTCCTGAATTCAGAGCCTGACAAGGATGCTGTGCAAGCAAATGCCTATGAGGAACCTAAAATAGGGTATCCACTTGGGAAGAGATTAAGTGATTAAGTTTTGTGCTCTTGCCAGCTGCTAACTAAAATTTAAAGGGCCAGCAACATGTTTGTAAACTAAACACAAAGCAAGCAGCTTCTTTGTTTCCCTATTTTCGTCAATAGACTTTCTTTTCTAAACCTAATAAAGAGATAGTTGTAGCTGCCAAAAAGTGTCACCAAAAGTTTGATTTTCCAGACATTTATAAAAGTTAAATGTAAAATATATGGCTTTTTTCTGTGCTAAAAAGAGTGTACAAATGAATACACCTACAATTGGAAAGACTTATTTCAGTGCATTACTTTAATTACATTTGTCAGAAGTATGAGCTTCTAACAAAATATTTGGCATTAAAATATCAACTATGTTTTCAAAGACTATGAACTCTGACTACCTTTCTGATACTGTTTATCAACTTTGAATTTTTTTTAATTAATACTACAAGAAGAAAGAAACTGATGATAAACATTAATGCTTTAGTGCATTAGTACGAAGTGTGAGAAAATCCTAATTTGCCATCGAGTCTTACTGTGCCATTTGCCTCATTTTACTAATTTATTTATTTTTAATTTGCAAGTTTTTCCAACTTCTTCCACTTTTGCACTAAATCCTAAATTATTTGGGAGTGTGATCAGTTTCTGTCCTTGGTTCATATATATTTGGAGAGCTAGAAACAATTCACAAATATACTACCATCCTGATTTTGACACTTAATGTTTTAAGTACTTTTCTGAGTTTGACCTTACACCGAAAAATAAAAAATAAAAATGAAACACTGTGCCAGGCATGTAGTAAAAATTAAGCTGGCATTTGTCCCTGGCACAACTGCAGAAAATCTACTTGCTTATATCATGGAATGAAACACTGAAGCCAGCAGGAGTGCTGGAATCTAAGCAGCTAGCTTAAGTAAAACCTTGCCAAAGTGAACCCACCCTCTGGGAAGTAACTCCAGAAGGGGAAACATCGGGCAGTCAGATTCCAAGACTTACCACAAAAGTAACTCACTTATGAAACAAAAGTAAAATACAATTAGACAGTAATGTTACCATTTAATATTGTTTCCCCTCCACATTAAATGCCACTCTTAAAAATGTACTCTCCTTTCGAAAACCTTTTGATTACATTCAAGAACTACTTTCAGATAAAGAAATATATCTTGACTACACTAAATTAGAATGAATATTATGGAAATAACGTAAGAACTGCTAAATACTTGGGACACTGATCAAACAGAGCTTGACCCAATTTTTCAACAGAATAATCATAAGAGGTTTAGCAAGGTAGTGGGCAGCCCTACAGCAAAGGAAACACACAAAAAATACATTTCCAAGCCTGCACCACTTCTCTTCAACTCTCAGCATGTGCTTCCTGCTAAGCTTTTTCCTTTATTTGTGTACTTCTGCCAAAGCCACTAGAAGTGTTGCAACTGTCACTTCTCATTCCCCTCTCCAACTGCACCACACCCCCCCAAGCATCCATACAGGTATCTTCATCAAATGAAGACCACCCATCTGGCTGCCCCTCACTACCCTGCTCTAGCTACTCCTCGGGTACCAGGGAGCAGATTCAGCTGAGTAGGGCATGGGGGCAGCCAGAGGAAAGGACTTCACCTCCCCAGGAGCAATAGGTGCTAGTTAATGGGGAGCGACAATATGGTGAGGGAGATCCTTCACACCCAAACACCTCCATACATGCTAGGAAACACAGAGAGTGGATGATGAGGAAGAGAGAATGGGGGTGAGATGAGGGTCAGATAGCCAGAGGATGAAATAGTGGATATGCATTTTGCAACCTTTTGGACTTATTGCATACAGATGTTCCATACATGCACGATAGCTGAAAGTGCTCTTCCTCCTCCCATCCCCGTCTTCTGAATGTATGGTAATCTATGCTTTGGATATCCAGTGCTGAAAGAGGTGCAGCATGCTTTACCAGGGCACGATCCTGAAGGCCATCCAGAAACTGCCACTTGTTTATGCAGTGGTCTGCCTGCTTAGTGGAGCAAACCATCCAAAGTTAGTTAGGCCAATACTTGGTGTCAGCTGTCTATCAATATGAGGGACATTTCAAGGTCCTAGTCTTTACCCTTAAAGCCCTAGATAGTGCGAAGTCTGAATGACCACCTTTCACTATGCAGCCAAAAGAGACAAACTCAGATTTAAAAAACTTACTGAGGCAGGGTGTACTCACAGGGTGGCCCTGGGCTGTGGAATTTGCTGCCGCCACAGTGAGACTGATAGAGCCTTACCACTTTTGAAACACGTAGCAAGACATCCCTTTCTGCAAGCTTTTCACTAAGATAGAGAGACAGAACCAGCTGTGGATTCAATGAAGTGTATCCGCTCGTTCTGAATCCTCTCAGCACAAAAAGTTAAGAGTAGTTGTTCCTCAGCTGAGTGATTTACTGTCACCTTTAAATTTTACATAACTAACATCCAGACACTACAGGGATTAGTGCCTTTGAAATAATAATAATAATATCATTAGCAATAAAAGCATGAATACTAACTATAGAATTATTAGTAAAAGCATACAAGACGTCCATTAATCTTAAAGTAGAACTTTACTTGGGGGTTTACTGACCTCAAGATTCAAACTAGTCTATTGACAGGAAGACATACCCTTTTTAGTTTGTAACTGTCTAAATGTCAGCATTATTAATAAAGAAACAAAAACATAAATCGCTATCTTGATTCACTTACTGTGTCTATAAGCAATAGCTGTGTCCAGTTTCACTACCAGTCCATGAACTAAACCAAAAAAATTACACTACATATTTTTGCAAAGTCTACACTTTCCTTCTTTCCTGTTGCTTCTTAATCCACTGTATGGGATTAATAAATATATACTATTTCAGTTGAACTACTTTTTTTTTTAGCTTGGGTCCAAATGACTTTTACAAAGAGCAGCCATTTGAACTTCCTCATATTAGTGAAAGCACAGGAACTGGTATAACAGTAAAAACGTATAAAATGAAATGTACCTGCTTTTCCTTTCAATGAGAATGGCCACGTAGGAAGCCGGTAAAGCAGCTCCGAAGCCCGGAGTCCAAAAGTAGAATTTTCCAAGTATCCTCCTGAAAATGTAATTTTATATCTATTATATCACATGCCAAAGCAACAAGAAAGTTAGCGTATGATGCATGTGTTATGCTCAACATAAGACTGTATTCATGTCCATTTTCCACCGATAGAGATACATTGCACCCTTTGAATTAGTTCATATTGCACAGACACCAATAGGAATACTTTTACACTTACAGTTCCTTTCAATGAAGATTTCCAGACACTTCATAAACATTAAGTCCCATAATACCACTCAGGTACATCAGTACTACACCCATTTCAAAGGGCTTCTATTTTAAAGCAAATAGTACCTTAGCCCCCAAGTGATATTTATGAAAGGTTAAAGAATTATGTAGAACTACACAAAAATTGAGACTGCTACGGTCTCTTCTGCAGTCAGGATAGCCTCTTCAGAAAGATTTAGAGGTGTATGGAATGAATGTGGGGCTATCAAATGAACCGCAAGGCGGTTCAGATAAATACACTTCACAGCACGTCCTGAAGACAGATAGGGAAACTGATGCCGAGAAGTTAAGTGACTTCTCTAAGGTCACTCAATAAGTCAATGTAAGAGCTGAAAATAGAATCCAGGGGTGAAATCCTGGCTTTATTAAACTCAAGAATTGCAAATCTCCCATTGACTTCTATAGGACCAGGATCTCACCCCAGGAGTCCACAACTTCAGGAATAATACAAATAAAAAAAAATCTTATAAATTCAGGGCACATTAATAAACAAAATCATTCTGAAAATGGATTTATTACACAAAATAATGACTACGTGTAAGGAATTATGTTTTGGGGCAAAGATTAAATTTGTTACTGTGGAAAAAGGGAAAAACAACGTACACATTTGCTAAATGTAAATTACAGTAGCAGCCCAATTGTCCAGTCAGTTATTAAAAACTTGATTCTGAACTCTTGCATATTCAGCCTACTTGGAATGGACTGTGGAGGCAATAAACCATCTCCAAGGAATGGGGGTACTAGTGAAGTGGAAAGATTGTACGCAGAGCTTTAACAAGCAATAGCAGCTGATTCAGCAGCACAATCTCATTTGAGACTCTGTCCTCATAAAACAGCGCAAGTAACATGATAAATTCATATGGGGCAATGAAAAGAGATGAAATTACATATGAGAAATGGCACCACATAATAAAGAACTAGTGAAATTAGAAACACCATTTGAACCAGCTCAATTTTATCCCTGTCCTAGGAAGGGCAAAGGACTTGCCTCATTCTATCTTTGCCCTCAATATGCCACAAAAACAATGATGCAAAGAAGTACGACCAGTTTATGTTCAAAAGTGAGAGGAGTCAGTGAATCAGCAACGAGTGATGTAATGGCAATTATACACACTATACATTCCCATGGCTACAGAAGGTTAATTTCACTGGACAATGCCAAATGCTGCACCAGCTAAAAGTTCATTATTACAGGAATCTGTTGTTTTGGCATAGTTTTGAATCATTTTACTAATACTTACATTTTCAATTTGATAATAATATTTAAAAGACAGCAATATACATTTTACATAGTGCAATTGTCTGCAAATTCAAAAGCCAAAAGCACTTCTCATCATGAAGAATCTAAAAATATAGATAGAAATAATGTTTTGGATTACAAGATTACTGTTGTGTTGTGTCTAGTGGTTAGAACAGGGAGTTAGAAACCTAGGTTCTTTCAGTCCCTGCCATTGATTCACTATGCAGCCTTTCCCAAAGTTTAAGGCTTGTCTATACACAAACATGCAATAATTTAGTTAACTGGGAAAAACCCCTGTGTGAACACACTTCTATTGGTCTAAACTGGTTTAACTTGCCCCTGTAAGCTAAACCAATATAAGCCAAGTTTAAACAAATATAAAAGTGTCTACAGAGGGGCTGGCACTAGTATAACTAAATCTGTTTACAATCAAACTTTTAGATGACCAATCCAAGTGTATAGACCAGGAGTAAAATGTTCTAAAGCACTTTTAAGTGACTTAAGAGCCTGAAACTGATAAGTGCCCACATTCCTTTTGAAAATTGGACTTAGCTGCTTTTCAAAAATTTACCCGAACTGTGTCCCACAGTTATCCCACACTTAAAATACTTACATGCTTTTTAAACCACTTTAACATCTTTGGATGAAGGGTGCCATATAGGTACAAAGTATTAACATAATTACAATGTCAAGGTATATATTTGAAATTCTGCTTCCCTGAAGATATCTTCTTCCAGGGGTCTCACTTCTGGTTCCTCCACACCCTAGTGTGAGGAAGGTAGAATTCTCAAGGGCAGCAGACAGATGTCTGAGCACAAGCTAAACACCTTACTGTTACCCAGGATGCTTTGTGCTTAACTCAATCTTTGGAACCTTCCACTCAATTCCAAAAGAGCAGAAAGTGAAATATCCCCAGAGAAAGTCAGCCATTAAAACTAAAAATGACTGGAAAAAAAACTAGCAGCTCAGAAAAGAATTTAAAAATAGAGAGGTAAAATACAATGCCACCTCAAACAGATTCTGTTCCAACCTCAAAGGGAGGTAAATGGGTGATTTATAATCCTGCAAGGTGAAAACTTCAGAGAAGCAGAATTACAAGGGAAGCAAGTCTCAGCCTTAATTATCTCCACAATTACTTGCAATATACATTGACTTAGGACTATTGAGTAACGGTCACCTAGAGTCACCTTTCAGAGCAAAGCCACACTTTAAAGAGAGTTTTACCTGCGTCCCTAAAAAGCTTGACAACATCCTTTGTCATGAAAAGAAAAGGAGTACTAGTGGCACCTTAGAAACTAACGAATTTATTTGAGCATAAGCTTTTGTGAGCTACAGCTCACTTCATCGGGTGCATCTCTAAGGTGCCACTAGTACTCCTTTTCTTTTTGCGAATATAGACTAAGACGGCTGCTATTCTGAACTTTATCATGAAGTGATACAAGGTTTGAAAGTCAGGTTCTTTCGAGTTTACACATCTACACAGATGAGTTATGGTTTGTCTATATGGAGGAAACTGACCAGCACAACTACTATTATACTTTGGTATAAATATAGCTATTCTGGAGTAACTCCCCCATGTGGACACTATTTCAGAATAAAAAGTGATTTTATTCCAGAATTACTCCATTTTGTGAGCAGAGTAGCTATTCCAGAATAAAGATACTTTTATTTCAGAACAGAGTCTCCACATAGGGAGCTATTAAAGCATACCTATTCCAGTCAACTTCCTTGTGCAGAAAAGGATACAAGTCCACAGGTGCCCTTGTTGCCAAGAAGGCCAATGGCATTTTGGGATGTATAAGTAGGGGCACTGCCAGCAGATCAAGGGGCGTAATCATTCCCCTCTATTCGACATTGGTGAGGCCTCATCTGGAGTACTGTGTCCAGTTTTGGGCTCCACACTACAAGAAGGATGTGGAAAAATTGGAAAGCGTCCACCGGAGGGCAACAAAAATGATCAGGGGACTGAAACACATGACTTATGAGGAGAGGCTGAAGGAACTGGGATTGTTTAGTCTGTGGAAGAGAAGAATGAGGGGAGGATTTGATAGCTGCTTTCAACTACCTGAAAGGGGGTTCCAAAGAGGATGGATGTAGACTGTTCTCAGTGGTAGCAGATGACAGAACGAGGAGTAATGGTCTCAAGTTGCAGTGGGGGAGATTTAGGTTGGATAGGAGGAAAAACTTTTTCACTAGGAGGGTGGCGAAGCACTGGAATGCGTTACCTAGGGAGGTGGTGGAATCTCCTTCCTTAGAAGTTGCTAAGGTCAGGCTTGACAAAGCCCTGGTTGGGATGATTTAGTTGGGAATTGGTCCTGCTTTGAGCAGGGGGTTGGACTAGATGACCTCCTGAGGTCCCTTCCAACCCTGATATTCTAGGATTCTATGAAAAGCCCATTGTCACAGTTCAAGAAGGAAGAACAATGACTGAAAGACAGAACAATCACATTCACCCAGCCAACCAATGAGAAAGCACGAGCAGCTGTATTGGAGCTCTGCTCCCCTTCCTTTATGACCAGAGTTAAGGTAATAAAGAGAAAGTTACCAAAAAAAATTCATTTATTATAATGATATTTATGTCTCCTTCAGGAAGTAGAAATTAAAGGTCAATATCTATCAGCTATTACACTTAGTGCACGTATAGATATTGATGAAGTACAAATGGATGGAAAAAATTAATTCACAAAGTGGCATACTGACAAAAACAGTGGGAAAAATATACACTGAATTAGTAAAGACAGAAAACAAGATGGGAGAACCTTTCATTAGGTCAAAAGAAAAGGAGTACTTGTGGCACCTTAGAGACTAACCAATTTATTTGAGCATGAGCTTTCGTGAGCTACAGCTCACTTCATCGGAGGTGCATCCGATGAAGTGAGCTGTAGCTCACGAAAGCTCATGCTCAAATCAATTGGTTAGTCTCTAAGGTGCCACAAGTACTCCTTTTCTTTTTGCGAATACAGACTAACACGGCTGTTACTCTGAAACCTTTCATTAGATCATCTTCTTATTCCAATAAAGGTGTGGCTGCTTTTCAAAGAAGTCACAATAGGAAGCATATAGGAATAATTCTACAAATAAAAAGGAAAAACTGAAGATACTATATAGCAAGTCATTCTCAAATATTTAGCATAGTGTATACCAACCTTAAAATGCAAAAGAAAGCAATATACAAGCTCCCATTCGCAGTCAGAAAGGAAGTTGACTGCAAAATCTCAGGTAGCAGTTTGTGCAGATAATAGTCAAGCTTTCGTTTCCTGAGAACTGCCGCAATCTGGAGGGATAAAAAAAGGATGCACGCTTGAATTCAACTAGTTTTTTTTACACTGTAAAGAAAAAGAGGACTATTGCACAGGGAGACACATTCATGTAAACAATAAATCAAAGCCTCTTAATTTACTGAGATACTTTTATGAAGAATACCATAAAAGATTTCCTCTGAAATTGTGCAAGAAATGCAGAGGCCATTATGACTATAAGAAGAATTTTACTACCTTGCTGACCTTGCTGAGTGGGAGAAGGCTAGCTGTTTTAAGCTGATGATAAATTTTCACAATACTTTGTGTTCCAAGGTATGGAAATGTATACAGGTTAAAACATCCCTAAGAAGTCCAAGCACACGCCTTATGCAGCCCCCCATAAAATAGTGAAATATTTCTGTAAATTTTAACTTCAAGGAACCTAACAATTTTTTTTACCTTGACGGGCAAGTCTTCCTCCAAAAATTCACTATGACGTCAGAGATCAGAAAGAGAGTGCTTAGAATAGCCATATCATTTATACAAAGCATCTCTTATGAGTAGGTCCTCTCTTGCAAAAAATCACATAATAAGTGTCAGCCAACAGAAAACAGACTAGATATAGACAATAAATATGCCTAGAGGTCAATTTAATTTCTGCTTGTATGTTTATAAGAAGGGTGAGATTACTTTCAAGAAATGCATATAGCTTTTTAGATTCAGTCTATCAACAAAGACTTACAGGTAGGAAAAAGCTCACATAATTGTTCTGAATTTCCATGAAGTTAGCATAGTGGTGAAGGACAAAGATATATTCACTTAGCACTTTCTATTCAGATTTCCACTATTGCCTTTCTTTCTTTTCTTTACTTCTCTTCCCTCTCATCCAAGTGGACTAGGGCACCAAGTTTCCTGGTTCAAATCAGCAAGTGACCCAGCCCGCACGCTGCAGAAGTCAAAAAACCCCAGGGTCTCTGCCAGTCTGACCCAGTGGAAATTCCTTCCCAACCCCAATTATGACAATCAGTGAGACCCTGTGTGTGTCAGCAAGACCCACCAACCAAAAACCTGATAAAGAATTCACTATAGTCACTCAGAGCCCTCCCCCATCTAGTGTTCCATCTCAGACAACTGGAGATACAATAGAACTTCAGCATTACGAACTGACCAGTCAACCACACACCTCATTTGGATCTGTAAGTATGCACTCAGGCAGCAGCAGAGACCAAAAAAAAAAAAAAAAAAAAAGGTAAAATCAGTACGGTCTTAAATGTAAACTACTAAAAAAAATAAAGGGAAAGTTAAAAAAAAAAGATTTGACAAGGTAAGGAAACTCTTTCTGTGCTTGTTTCACTTAAATTAAGGTGTTTAAAAGCAGCGTTTTTCTTCTGCATAGTAAAATTTCAAAGTTGCATTAAGTTAATGTTCAGCTGTAAACTTTTGAAAGAACAGTATTCACATTCTGTCAATGTTTTTTCAAGAATTACGAACCACCTCCATTCCCGAGGTGTTCGTAACACTGAGGTGCGACTATACTTACTACTAACAGTCTCAGATGGACCACATACCATTGTAGGCAACCTCATCATACCATCCCTTCCATAAACCTATCAAGCTCAGCCTTGAACCCGGTTAGATTTTTTGTCCACACTATTCCCCTTGGGAGGCTGTTCCAGAACTTCATTCCTCTCTGATAGTTAGAAAACTTTGCCTAATTTCAAGCCTAAATTTTTTTATGGACAATTTATATCCATTTGTTTTTGTGTCAAGATTGGCCCTCAACTTAAATAATACCTTTCCTTCCCTGTCGTGTATTCCTCTGAGTTATTTATAGGGAGCAATCATATCTCCCCTCAGCCTTTGTTTGGTTAACCAAGGTTAAGCAAGCCGAGCTCCTTAAGGCTCCTGTCTTAAAGTAAATTCTACATTCCTCTGATCATACTAATAGTCCTTGTCTCCACCTGTCACAGTTTGAATTCATCTTTCTTCAACATGGGAGACCAGAACTGTATATAGTATTCTAGATGAGTGCACCAGTGCCTTGTATAATGGTAATGATACTTCCCTATCTCTACTGGAAATACCTCACATGATGCATCCTAAGAGTGCATTAACCTTTTCCATGGCCACATCACATTGACGGCTCATAGTCATCCTGTAACTGACCAGTACGCCCAGGTGTTTTTCCTTCTCTGTCTCTTCTAATTGATGTGTCTCCAGCTCATAGCAAAACAAATGTATTGTTAGTCCCAAAATGCATGACTTTGCACTACTAAATTTCATCCCATTTCTATTACTCCATTTGTCATAGTCATTAAAATCTTCTTTATGATATTTAAGTCCTCCTTCGTACTGGTTACATCTCCTAACTTTGTGTCATCTGCAAATTTTATCAGCACACTCCACCTTTTTGTGCCAAGGTCATTAATGAAAATGTTAAATAAGATTGGTCCCCAGACCAATCCCTGAGGAACTCCACCAGTAACCTCCCCACCGCCTGACAGTTCACTTTTCAGTATGACCCATTGTAGTCTCCCCTTTAACCAACAAAACTAAATTAACTAGGGCCCCATACTACTCACAGCACCCACTCAGAGTCAATAGGGGACCCTCTGGATTACAGGAGACTGGGCAAGTGAGCCAGCTGGATTCCACTTTATTCTCCCTCTCCATCTCCCAAATTCTGTAGGGGAAAGCATCGCTGAAATCGATACTGCCAGAAGAGAAGGAGGAAAACCCCTTTCAGGGGGATCTGGAGGCGGCTGCAGGTAAGGGCAGCTCCCGACACACAGCTATTGCAGGAACTACGTTGTCTGAAGGGCAGCAGGAGACCATAGAGTAAAATGGAGAGAGTACTTCCCTATCTCACAGGAGTGCTGGGAGGATAAAATCCATTAATAATTCTGAGCTACTTAGATATTACGGTGATGAGGGCAATATATGTATTAGATAGGAGAGGCTGAAGAGTCAGCATAGATATGGAGTCTTGCCTGCTGGAAGGAGAAGAGAGTTCAGTGTATTGTGGGCAGCATTGAGAAGAACTGCAGAGCCTGTTAGAGCTGAGTTTCTTAGCTGTCAGCTAGTTTGTTAACAATTGCCGGCAGAGAAAGGGTTGGCTGACATTTGCTGACCTTATCATTTAAATTTTAAATCCTTTGCAGTGCACAAAGCTCCACAGAGCAGGAAAATTTAAATTGTGAGGGCAGCAGAATCCCAGGCTTCTCCCTCATTCTCCTGAGGTCTGGGTTTTCTTCATCAGTTTCCAGGAAAGCCTCCTAGATATCTTGGAACTCTGTCAGATTAAGTTATAAATGCTATCTTCTTCTCTGTGGATTGATACTAATCCTTCATTTTGGGCATGAATGGATTTTGCCAACAGTGATTAAATAAATCCTTAATATGTAACTGTAAACATGTCAGATCCAGATATCCTTTTCCCACAGGAAACAGATCTGTTGCCTAAGGTGGTGTCATTTCTTATTTGATCCTTTTTTTTTTAAATGTACCTTAATTTAGGCATTGCAAATAAATGGATGTTTAAACTGGGTGTTGGTTTGTTTGCCAAAATGAATAATTAACATTGTTTTCTGATCAAGCAAATCTAACTTGAAGAGGCTGGAAATTATCTCTGCATATTTGTAGACTCAACCTGAACAGTTCTCTTCTACAGGGCTCTGCTATGAAATACTGTCTTAGTATGAGAGAACATTCTTTATATCCAGCTTCTGAAAATTCTGTTCTATGTAGCTTCTTACACAGCCCTAATTAACATAGTTTCTGAGTGAATTCCAGTCGTGCATAAGGTGGTGATAACACAGTTTCTACATCTAGTGTGTTAGGTCTCTTCTCACACATCTGAAATATAGGGGGGAGAAGGTATAAGTGTCCAGCAGCTTTCTGTACTGTATAATATTTTCGGAATTTTTATTCAATAAGAAAACATTTAAACTATTAACTTTGATTATTCATTAAAAAAACTTGCTAACCATGCATTGCTCCTTAAGGACTACTAGCAAACTAAGTTTGAAGTTTTTAAAAAGTTTGAGACATCAAGTAAAAACAAGAGGTTATTAATGGAAACTTTTTTGCAATCTTAATTATAGATTTCACAGTATTATATTTCAAACCTGAAAAATTAAACAGACAGTCCATTATATCAGAACACCAACACTTTGTAGAAAAGTATTGCTGCCACTCTTCTTTCAAAAATGCTCAGACTTAATATTTTTAAAAATATCTCCAGTCTTGCAGACTTGTCATAAAAATGTACTACTCCAGGACCTAAAATCTATTCATTCACCCTTTATTAAGGGGAACAAGAGTAATTCAAACACTAATAGTATTTTACTCACCCTTCAAAATAGAACTATTTGCTCTGCACAAGCAGATTTTTGCGAGATAGACTAGCTCAATCAATACACTTTGATAGGAAATAAACACAATAATTAGAAAATGTTTTCAACACAAACTATGCATTCGCATTTAAAGGCATGGGGCCAGAATTTTAACAGTAGTTAGGCACCTAAAGATGCAGACAGGTGCCTAGTGGGGTTTGCAAAAGTACCTGAGGTAGGCACCTTTGTAAATCTGGCCCATAGTCACTACATTCAGTTATTGTTTCTACAGCAATTGTTGTTCAACCCTTCCCTTTGCACACCTGCAGTACGTAGGCTGTTACATTTAATATAGGTAGAAAATGTAGCCAAATTATTGTTTCCAAGCCAACCACAACTTTGACGTTTAGCATTTACATTTGCAATTAAAACTTTACACTGTTTAACTGAATTTCCCTGCAATTTAAAACTGTGTTCCAAATTCAGCAGGTTATTGAAAATTCATACTGTGGCAGCACCCATACGCATCAAGGCATCCATAGGCATCAGGCCAGGGCCCCATTGTGCGACGCACTAGACAAATATCTAGCGAACGATATGAGAGATTCATATATTCAACATTTTAGATATGTGCATCTAGTAGATGCAATATTCTTTTTAACTGAGTAGTCACAATTAGTCTCACTATACAATAAATGCCC